TATCCACCTTGTTTTTTAAGTATATATTCCTATTAGCACAGAATATAACACTTTTATTAATAGAAAATGCTTTACTATTAAAAATAGCAATATTTACTGCTATGACTCATTTTGATGTTGATGCATCAGAAATTTGTTTTTCACTCATCCATTCTTTTAATTTCAGAGAGTTGTGTTAAAGAGTGCCATGTTATATTACAGACTGCATTAGATCAGTCAGAAAACCTCCCACACCTCACAGTCACCTGCTCTGCTGGTGAGTGCTCATATTTGCATAAATTTTAATCTTCATCAGATTAAAGTACTGTTTTTATTGATGGAATTATATATGTGTAGTAGGGAAAGATATAAACATAAGCATTAGTCATGATTATGTACAGTGGGTAAACACTGAAGATGTGAAAATGCTGAATTTAAAATTTTTGAGTTTAAAATTTGACATATCTAGACACACCAAGTTTTCCTATGCTTTTATTTTAAAGCTTCCCACATTGTAATCAAAGAAGATCTACCAAGAAGAATGAAATGTAGTAAGAACCAGGATGTAAATTTACTGGTGATGATTTACCTATCAGTACACTTTCTATACATTTTTGCCTTAGTAAATCACTTTCTATTTAATTAAAGTAGTGTCTTTTTAAATTGAAATTATGGTCAGACTCATTACTGTGAGTGACTAATATACCGAGTGTGTTGTTTTGTAAAAGATTTCTTTTGTGTTCATATAATCTTTTTATATAAATTTACATAATTATAACTGATGCTTGCATTTATATCTCCTCCTATACATATATAATACTGCCAATGAAGTCAGATGAAATTCTTCCTTTGTTTTTCGGTTGCCTAACCTTGTTCTGATATGTAGAAATTTATATATCATATTCTTTTATGATATTTGTTCTTATACTATTTTTTCTCTCTTTGTGACTAACTGAAATAAAAATTAATTCCATCATTGCTATGTAATTTGTAATTCACATTCTTGCTCCTAAAGGAAAGAATTTTATCTTCTGATCCCCATGAAACATTTTTACTGTATTTGTTTTAGCTTTCTTTAATGAAAACAAAATTATATAAAAGTAATAGTCTAATACAATAAGCCATTATCAAAGACATGCATTATTTCTTGCTTTTCCCATGAAAGAAAACCTGATGAATCCTGATAGAGATGAACATTCAACCATACTAAGAATGCTATAATGCTGTTAAATAATTGCATCAAAAGCTGTTAATGTTTCTCAAGGGAAAATGTATTTGTTATCAATTTTAGCTTTGCTTATTTACCATCAGTGCATCAGAAATGAACTGTTATTTCTTGAATGACTATTAAGGCTTTTGGTGATTTGTGATTTTAAATTTCAATTGACAAATCTAACAAAAAGAAAACTTTCTCACAATTCAGTTTAAAAATTCTGTTTTATTCTAAATTCCTAAAAAAATTAAATAATTGAATTTTTTTTTTTTTCTTTTTTTTTTGACAATGCAGAATATTTACTTGATCGAACCTATCCTATATATGATTCCATCACCAATTTACGTACAGCACATCAACAGTACAAATCCAATGAAGCAAGTAAGTACTTTTAAGCTTTTTTTTCCCTTTTTTGCAACTAATATTACATGGAGAAATTTTATTGACTGGTAAAATTTATTTTTGATAATAATGTCAGATTTTCTCCTGTGAGAAATAAATTTTGAAGAGATATAATTAAAATGTTTGCTAAACTTAAATTTGAGTTGGTGTTTTATCTTGTTTAACATTAGCAGGTTTACTTTATTGTATGTAATTTATTGCATGTTTCATTCGAGAGTTTGCATTTAAAATTAAACAAAAAACATTGTGTAATGTTAATTATTATTTGATAACTAGTTTTACCATCTTCAGATTTATTTAAAAAAAAAACATGATATCATATTGGGCTAACTTTATTGCATTAGAGATCATATTGTTAGCCATTTTTCTTTTTTCAATAAAAATTTCCTTTAATTTAAAACAGCTTCATATTAAAAGGTTTTACTGAAATTTCTGAAATAATTGAAATGAGAATTGCAAAAAATAAAGGAACATTTGTTTGTTTTTTTGTTTTTTTTATAATGCTATGTACCTTATGTTTAAGTATGTAGGCGATCATGGCTCTCTACAGATTTCTTTTCTTTATTATCTGTTAAGTTTCCATGCATTCTTGGGAAAGATAGTGAGGTAGTTTCTTCTCTATAGTTTGGAATTCAGTTTTCCTTCTCTTAGACTGATTGCCACTAGATAACCTAGTCTATCTTGCTATTTAACACAGCTGACAGGGAGAAGAAACATGTCTTTTCCCAACCTCATTTGTATGAAAATGTACGGAGGAGGCTAGGTTGGTATGTGGATCCATTATACTATTTGCATGTCCCCTTGTATATATTGAAATTAACTTGACCATATCTTAAAAATGCACTTCTCTTTCTGATGTGTTCCTTTAGGACATAAGCAATCATGGCTCTCCATTTCCTATCCTATATATAATAATTATATATAATGCAGATCAAATAGCTTGTTCATTAAATACTCAAAAGACAGCCTCATGTATAACTGAGAACCAATGTGCAAGAATATTAGACTTTGTGTTATAATGTATTCTTCTATTTGTTGTGTCCCTTCTCCACAACTTCCCGTCTTTTGCAACTCTTAGAAAGGTTTATTTTTTTGCTATCTCTCCTAATCCCTGTTCTGTTAACCATTTACACAAGCTCATTAGTAGGTTATGTATTGCTTTCCTCTCTCCCGCTTGCTTTCAATATGTCATGTGTTTAATATTTTCCAAGATCTCTTTTCTCATTATGTACCCTAGAAATTTCAGTTGTCTCTTTCTAATTTATAAATGTCTCTTTCTCTTTTTTTGCTTCCATTGTCCTTAAAATTTCCTCATTACTCACATGTTTTGTTCATGGTATTCTTGGCATCCTTCTGTAGAACTACATTTCTTTTGTCTTGAGTTTCTTCTTCATCTGTGATGAGATTGTCCAGCATTCGCTGCCATATAGAAGGAGCAAAAACAATTTGTGAAGTTACTTTTCATCTTTCTTTTTGTTCATTGCAGAAGTACATGAACTCCTAGTCTCACTAAATGGTTTCTCTCACCAATTATCTGAATGCATAATCCATGGATTTGCTACATCACATTCAGCCCAGGTAGCTGCTGGAGATGGTAAGGTTTCTTTTTCTTTCTACAACAAAATTAGTTAACAAAATATAATTTATATATTTGGTAACATTTCATTAAAGTCTGTAACTACATGTAGTTTTAGATGCCAAAAAATGGTTAATTTTTACTAATCACCCCAACCCCATGAGGTATTACATTAGAATATGTCTCTAAGGATATCTCTTGTCTGTTCATAACAATCAGTAATAACTACTGAGTAGGTTTGATAATAAAATAAATTTGAATGTGTTGTAATTTCATGTGTAAATGGATTGAGTTGTGCAAGTGAAAGAATTTAACAGGCAATAAGAATGAACAAACACAAGGGTAATTTATTACTAGATTTATAGACAACAGAGGTGCTTGCAAACTAAAATTGAATTTGCAGGGCCCAACTTAGAATGAAGAGTTCGTTTAACTTGATTCTATGCTGGTATCTTTTATGCCAGACGTCTTCAGAGTCAATTAACACATCTTTACAGAAGCACATCAAAACAGCAAAGAGGAAGAGTTTAAGATTGTTCTTATTGGTGCCAACAGAAACTGGCTTCTGATTGGCTGGCATAATGTATGGTGTAAAGTAAGAGAAAACAACTCTGTTCTCATTATAATTTTAATAAATGTTCCCTTCCTTGCAGACCACTAAGTCAGTCTTGGACAGGGTGTAGTCATTTGGTACATTTCAAAGTAATCTGTAAATCTTGTTTTAAACTAATTGATTGTTATTTACACTATTTACATGTGGACTATTGTCTTTATGGTATTATCTAATGTATAATCTATTTCTGTGTAAATGAGTGTTGTAAACAAATAGATCATTTTTATGTTTGACAGATGCTTCTTGTCCATGATATACGATGCCTTTGACATTTTTGTCTTATTCGCTCAGTAACTAAACAAATCCATTGCATTTAGATCTGTGCTCCAATTTATCAGCAGTTGAAACACATGAAAATGAAATGTACCAGTGCTGAGTGCAAATATTCTCAATTGTAACAACAAAGTTAATTGCATGGAAAATGAATATTAATTTAAATATTTAAATGGAAAATGTTATTTGTGAAATTTATATATTTTTATATTAACTGTTTTGTTTTTCTATTTCCTTTTTTATTTCTGATAAGTGAAGCTATTTAAGTAATACTTGAATGTTACATTAATTTTAATATTTTCTTCATTCTTTTTGTTGCAGAATTAATTAATAATTGCAAGAAAGCAGTAAATGAGAGTATGACAACACTTACTGCTATTGAACAAGGTAAAAATATCTCAGTTTTATCTTAAATATAAATCTATTTTGTTGCTGATAATATTTAATTGACAGCTAAGATAATCTGCAGCTTTTTTCTTTCAGTGCTTTTGATTCATGAAATTATTGTAAATAATTTCAATGATTTAAGATGTCATAAAAATTGTTATTCATATTCATTTTTTATTACCAAATTTTACTCTCTCTTTTTTTGTCTTAGAAAATGTTATTTGAAAAATAAGGTACTTAGAACAAATGCTCAATTCACCTATGAACATTTTTTTGGTTTTCATTCTCATACAGTGCAACTTTTAAGCAAAATAGCAATGTGAAATTTAGTGCTTTATTGTCTTCCTAGAACACTCTAACAGTATTTTGGTAAAAGATTTGCTTGTCATTACTTGTTAGGACTTCATGAAACATTTACTTAGGTTTATAAAAATAATTTACAAAGTATTCCTTTAAGCATTAGAATTAATGTTTATAGTCAGCTGGAGTGCTTTAGTTTTATTAACAAAAAAAAGTAGTAGTTATTCTAATGAATGTTGAATACATAGATTATCAATTTTTGATCTCCCTAAGCCTCAAAACATGCAGCAACACAAAAGTTATAGATACAAAGTTCTCTTTTCTGAATTATTACAAAATGAGATCTTATAAAAAATGAATATAGTTTAAATTGATTCCAACTTGTAATTCAGTTATATTTATCTTTAACTACCATGCGTTGCCTGGGTGTACATGGCTGCAATTGTATAACTGCGCTCCCTGCATACCCACACTCCCAGTCTAGAAATGTTTGCCTGCATCTCCACTTGCATGCATCATCTGTTGTTATATTAAGCTACTCCCCACCTCACCTATTTTCACGGTATGTCCTTCACAAGTGTTTGATTGTTCTTAATAAAGGAATTCCATCAATAAAAACTTCCTGTATGGCCGTTGCTTGGGTTTAAATTGTTTCAATGTTTTAGATATTCAGTAAATTTCCTATGGCCGTAATAACGTTCATATAGTATGACATTGTTCACAAATCTAATAATCAAACAAAAACAGGGATGAAGCATCAAATTATTGATAGTGCAAGCTCAAATGCATGAATTCCCCCCCTCATTTCTAACCATGTTTACTGTAAATTAGATTCCTATAAGACTAGCAGTGGAGACAGGATACCAGCCATTGTCCTGAAGAAATGTGTTCCTGTCCTTTCCAAACTATACAACTACTACCTCAACGACTCCTGCTTTCCATCCTGTTGCAAGTCTTCATCTGTTTTACCTGTCTTTAAGAACTCTAAAAAACCCTTCTGACCCATCTAACTTCCCATCAGTCTATACCTCTCTTGACAAAAGTCTTTGAGGCTTTAATCAATGCCAAAGTGGTTAAGCACTTTACATCCCATGATCTGCTCTCTGACAAGCAATGTGGTTTCCGCTTTGCCTGATCTACAGCTGATGTGCTCACAGCTGTAACTGAATTTGTTTACCAAGCACTTCACAATAACAAAGAAGCTTGTGCTGTGGCCCTAGATATCTCTAAAGCATTTGATAGGGTTTGGCATGCCAGCTTCCTTCACAAGTCTTCAGGGATATGGTATTTCAGGACGATTATTTGACTTAATACAATCATTCCTGTCAAACCGTGTAATGAAGGTCGTCCTTAATGGATTCTCCTCTAGTCCCATTCTCACAAACACAAGTGTTTCCCAAGGCTCTATCCTGGGTCCTACACTGTTCCTTATCTTCATTAACGATCTTCCCAATGTCATCAGTTCTCAAGCAGGCATCTATGCAAATGACACTACTATTTACTCCTGCCTAAATAGCAAATCTAGTATTGCTGACAAAACTAACCTGGCTGTTGGTCTCAAAAAGGACCTCCAATCGATTGTTGACTGGGGCAGGAATTGGCTGGTTAACTTTAATGCCTCAAAAACAAAACTGCTTTCTATTAGCCTTCACAGAGTACCCTCCCTGCCTCCCATTAGAATGTCTGATGCTCAACTCCATGAAAGCACCTTTTTGCAACTGCTTGGTCTCACACTGCTGAGCTGAGATGGAACAATTACATTGAATCAATAGCTTCATCTACTGCAAGGAAAGTTGGTTCTCTATGTCGTTCTAGAAAGTTTTTCTCGCCCAAGTTCCTCCTTCAAATCTATAAATCAACCATTCACCCTTGCATGGGATACTGCTGTTATATATGGTCTGGAGCCCCTGCTGTTCATCTTAGGGTCCTCAACAAAATCTAAAGACAGATATGCAATGTGGTTGGCCCTGATCTGGCATCTCGTTTACATTCACTCTCTCACAGATGTGCTGTTACTTCCCTCCAACTTTTTTTACAAATACTTTCATGGTAACTGCTGCGACAAGCTATTTTCACTATTTCCCAAACTGCATAAATTTAAACGTGCCACTAGGTCGGCATCTCAGTCCCACCCTTTTACTGTCAATAAAGTTAAATGTAGCCATCTCTTCTACTCCAATAGCTTCATGTCTTGCACTTCCCATCTGTGGAACTCCCTTCCTCTTACTTGCTTCTCTGATAGCTATAATCTCCAACTATTCAAATGCAATGTCAATCAACATCTCCAGATTCCTTGATCTAATTCCAGTTCTTCTATTCATCCTTTCCTCTATCACGCCTATTTACTCTTGCTTCCACTCTCTGTAATCCCTTGTGTGCTAGTGACACTCCTGCCTTGATTGGTGTGAAAATTTAAAAAAAAAAAAAATCTTGGGTTAATAAGTGGTTCTTCAGGAATCCTTCTCAAACAATCTTTGCATCAAAAGTTGTTTGAATACCAATTTAGGATAGAATCATCTGAAGAAACTATTGGCTAAAGAGCAACAGCTGATTTTGGACCTAGTTTGTTGCAGATTTCATCCACTTAACTGAAATAATCTAAACCAAACATTCATGCAAAACAATTTGTGTGTCATATGTAATTTACATAGAAAATTTGGAAAGCATTGGATGAAAAACCAATCAAGCTTTTTGAACAGTTTTTTGTGGTTTTTCATTATACGCAGGGAAGCAAGCAGGACTAAAATCATGCTATCCTATTTCTTACATGATGGCAAATTTTTTGCAGGTTTGAAGAAAATCAGATAAAAAATAAAGTTATTCAAGCTTTTATTTTAAGTAAAATGAAAAACCTAATTTTTTTTCAATTCTTTGTGTGAAACCAATGTTGAAGGAAAACTATCAAACACTTTACATAAACCTTGTAACATGAGTTATGTTTTGCATTAAGTGCAAAGAACATCAACTCATCCAGTAAAAATTTTGTTTGCATGGAACTTTGCCTTGGTTTTTGTGAAAAGTTGTACCCAGCTTCAGTTTTATCGATTTTTCTGCCAAACCTGGGGTCTCTGGAGATTGAAAAGTTGGTCTTGACCTACCTTAGTAAATACAATTTCAACAAAATCTGTTGAGAAATGTAGACGTGCATAAATAGCACACAAACACAGACATCTTCTACTTTATAGATATAGATTAACCAAACATCCTATTTTTTTCTTTTTGTGAAAAAATGTCACTTTGTACTAATTAGATCAAACAGCATAAAAAAAAATACCTAAACTGATCATTTTTGTTTGTTTTGTTTGTTTAAATGTTTTTTCTTTTATCATTCTTTTTCAGACATGCTTTTCTTTTATTCACACAATCAGTTTTTTAATCATTTGCTTACAGATTCAGAGAAGGTTAATGAAAATATCAATAAAATTTTAGAGGCTGTCAAAAAGATTCAAGCAGATGCTGAAACCCTATTGCCTAAGATTGCTGATGTAAAAGACAAAGAAATTGGTGATATGGTTGAATCAGAAATGCAATCAACAACATCAGCTGTTGATTTGGCTGCTGAGAGAATTGAGGTAAATTTCTTTTGTTTGTTTTAAATTAATATTCTTTTAATCTATCCTCTTTATTTAGGAACTAGTGTCAATTATATTAAATTCTCAATTAGAATATATTTTGTTAAAAATTCAGATGATTCAAGCATTATAATTTGTATTCATCTTTGGTCATTTTTTTGTATAAACTTTAAAAACAAAACATTCTTTACTATTTTGAGTCCAGGCTCAAGAAGTAATAGAATCTTATTATTCAGAGCATTAACATTATCACTATTCCTCTTAGCAGAGATCAAAGGTTGTGAATAATAATTGTCACTATTCTAGAACATTAGGTTACACTTGGTTGCATTTTCTTTATTAATATATTGTTGCTATCAGTTTTGAGCTTTACTTAAGATTAGTTTCATAATATTTCTAATTAAATTCTGTCACTTTTTAATAATGCTACTAAAACTAAAAAAAATAGTTTACATTGGTAAACATTTTTTAAAATATTTTATAATGAACAAGATTTGGCTGGTGTTTTGTTGTCGTCATATGGTAACTTACTAGTGCTGACAAACTATTGCTATCAAGCAAGAATGAAATCTTCTAAACTTACATACAGTTATTGGATTGTAAATTTTGTTTAAAAAAATATAATCGTATTCCATCAACAGAAAAAAAAAAAAAATTGCAGAAAAGCCAATTTTTAAAATTTTATTTGAATGTGCTGACCACCATAATTAACAATATTCTAAGTAAAAGATGAGTGGCCTCATTGGATCAGAAAAGCTTGCTTATTTTGTATGAATAAATAAGTTCCTGGACATTTTTTAAAATTTGATAACCTGCAATATTTTCTCTATTCAGGCAATGTTGAAAAAGACCAGTGAAGATAATACAGGAGCAACATTGGAAGTGAACACAAGTATTCTTGATGCATGCACAAGTCTTATGAAGGTTGGTTGTCAATATGCTTAAAAGATTTATAAGTTTTTGAATTTGCTTTGATAATTTAAAATATCCAAATTTTATTTGTCAAAGCTAAAGTTTTATTTATAACTGTTTTATAAAAAGATATTTAGGCATAATTTATTTATACTTGAATATTAAACTCATTTAAAGTTCTGTTTTTTTAAACATTTAAGTCATTTTTATCAGGTTTTTGTTTATTTCATTTGTAGGATATATGAAAGGTTGTTTTTTTTTACTTTGAATATAAGCAGACTTGAAAAATAATAGTTTAATTTTTTTTTGTAATCACAATGTTTGACATCTGAAGCTATATATTTGTTGTACACATTTGAATTTTTTTAAAGACCATATAAATTTTTTGTGAAATATTGTTTTTATAAACTTTGCTATCAATAAACCTTTTTTTTTTTAAATGGGTACTTTTATCAACATTATTATAAGTGTAGTAAATAATAATAAAAACATTTTTTAAAAGTTGCTTAAGCATTTTTCCTAGTCCTTTCCAAGTCTGTTACATTTTAATTCATCAGCTATTTATAATGATTTATCAACTTAAGGAAGTTAATGCCATTATCTCTTTCTTGAACCTAGCTTGGTTCATGAATTTGGTTACATAGTAACTGTGAGTTCAATCCATAGGCTCAACAGTGTACTTGGACTCTGTGGAAACATGGCAAGCCATAACTGAGCAGTACAAAAAATTAGAATGAGACTATATATCTCTAGACATGGGCAGTGGAACAAGTACAGTCTACTCCCATATATTAAATGAAGGGTTCAGTCTGATGTTCACTGTAGGTTATCCAGATTGACATCTGATAAAGACCAGAGGGCACAACAGTTGAAATGTGATAACAACAAAAAAGATGAGGACAATAGTCCATGTGTAAATAATGATAACTCCTCATCCCAGAAATTCAGACAAAAACTAACAGTAATAATGTTACCATTTTGAGTGGACTATTTGAAAATATACCATGACTACAATTTTCCACATTGAACTTGTACTAAAACATATTAACATTTAATATTCACATTTTTATTTATTTATTTTTTTCGTAGTTTAAGATCATTGATTTATTTTTTTCCTTCCCTTGTTTCATTTAACTAACATCTTTAACATCTCATAGATCAGCAAATTTATTAGCAATGTATTATTGGATATATAATGGATTATTAAGTACTTAATTGTGAATATAAAGAAACCTTTTAATTACCAGATTACTATTATTATCAGTGTGGTTGTTGTTTGCTCTCTATGGATATTAGTAGATACAAAATTATCCTTTTCGTTTTGCAGGCTATTAAAGTACTTTTGGAAAAATCAAGAGATTTACAAAAAGAGATTGTAGCACAAGGAAGAGTGAGTACATTTGTTTTGAAGATATTGTTTCGAAAATGTTGAATATGTTGACTTGCAATTGAAGAATATTTCTTATACATGTTCCTATTTAACTCTATGCAATTTCATAACAGGTGACTAAAGCACAGTCTTGTTTACTGCATTTATTAAGACTAAAGAAAATGCTCAAAAATAAACTTTTGTTAAAGTTAGCAAAAATATATCTTTTTCCTTTAACTTTTTTATTATTTTAGCTATTAATTTATCTCGTGTTACCATTTTTAGTTCTTTATCTTTCTGTAAAATTTTGTGTTAAGCCGGCTTTGTGGCAAATATATAATTTATTTGAAAATTATAACATAAATATGTTATAAAATCATTACAAAAATACCCATTTTGTTTCAACACTTCTGGTGTCTCATCAAGTGATGATGTTTAATGTAAAGTAATGCATTTTAAAAGGTTCAAATCAATCAAACACCCCTTGCTAAGGGTAACGCTGTGACATAAGCTGCAATGACCAATCAAAGTAGAAGTATATGAGAATTCTAAAAACTTGTCAACGAACCTTGGTTATAATAATTAATGCTTTAATGTTAGGTTGAGACTAAAATAGAAATCATTCTAATTAATATTAAATTTTACTATAAAATTAAAAATTACCAATTTTAAATCTAATCTGTGTTAAGTTTAAACAATTATAAAATTATTTAAAAAAGAAACAAAAGAAAAAATACGTATGTTTTGTTATTTATTTTGTTTTTATTCAGTTAGAATAAATGTTAAAATCTAATGTTGCTCTAAGCTTTGTTACAGCTTAGACACATTTAAAGTGATGATATAGGCAAGGGGGGGGTGAAATCTCACAAAAGACAATACATACACAATCAGATTATAATATACGAACACGTAGACATATTTAGATATATAAACACGCAAAAAAACAAATGACACAGACCATCCCTCTATATGATGTATATAAATGATCTAAGAATATACTATGATCATCTATAAATTTCTATGCCAGTGATACAATGATAGATGGACATACCCCTAAAACTCTTGGTGATCAAAGATTGGTAGTTGACCTCTCTTCCAATCTAACACTAACTTCCCAGTGGGGAAAAACTATCTGGTTACATTCACTGCCTCTAAAACCAACCTGATTACATTCTATCACTGTTGATCAGACCCCAAACTACTGCCATGATGAACAGGTGTTCTCTCAAGGAGGTCCAGTGCTATGAGAGGATACTGGGCTTCAAACTCACACTCGAATTTAAGTGGAATCCCTATATATGATCCATCATTAAAGATGCGGGTAAAATGATTGGCTCTCTGTATCACTTTAGTAAGTACCTGACTCCCTATGCTATCCTCTACCTTTATAAGAGCCACATTGGAGCGAAAATGGTGTATTATTGCTATATTTGGGGGTGCAGGGAGTTGCCCAGACCTCACTTTCCAGTTGAGCCCTTGTTGGAGAAGAATTATTTTTCACCCTCCAAATATTCTCTCACAGGTGGGATGTGGCAAGTCTCTCACTGCTCTATCACTACTACCATGGAAAGTTTCTTGGATGAACTACATTTCTTGGTTCTCCCAGGTCTAACTTTCATAGTAGCAAAGCATCCACATTCTCTCCACAAGGAGAAAGTTTCACTCAAACAGCTTCTTCTCATGAACCACTGCCCTGTGGAACAGACTCTTAAGATGATATTTCCCCAAGTATAGACTTAACCATTATCTTCACCTCCTATCCATATAAACTACCACTTAACATAACCCTCTACCTGTACAGGATGAACCCTACTGTTAAAAAAAAATATGTAGACATTGCTTGAACTACAAACTTTTTTTTCTGATTACCACTGCATATGTCCTAATTTTCTATATCTAATAATATTGGCTTGTGAGTTTCTGTGTAATGTAGCAATCTTAGAATTTTAGAATCTCAATAACAAATTATAGAAACTAAGAAACAAACTAAGAGAAATAGAGGAAATTGAATACATGAAGATTTCCGATAAGTGTTTATCATTGATTTTTATTGAGTTCCTTTCTTTTCTCCCTTTATGTGTGTAAATGATTAGTTTCAATGATTAAAATGTATTTTGTTTTTTTAATAAAATTTGTTATGCTTTATTAGGGGGCATCAACAGCCAAAGAATTTTACAACAAACATCATCGATGGACTGAAGGTTTAATCACAGCAGCTAAGACTGTTGGTTGGGCAGCTACTGCTTTAGTGTAAGTATGCAGGTATTCTAAATTATACATCACTAGTTCTGTACCTGTCACTTTGTTGATGGCAAGATGATCAGAATTCAAATCTAAATTCTTTGTCCATTTTAAAATACTATATTAGAAAATAGATTCAGTTTAAATACAGGAGTCACAGAAATTACTTCAAAGAGGTTGCTATCAAACAGACAGGGAAATAAGCACTTATGACACTGTTGTCCATTTTAATTTAATTCAAATTATGTGTGTATATATGTTTTCATTTGTGTGTGTGTGTGTGTGTGTTTTAAATTCAATGGTAGACCTAAAAATATTTCTACAAAATTTTTTTTTTTAAATCTAAAAGAAAAAAAACTGAAGGAAAAAATCTATTACCAAATAATTTCTGAAAGTTCAATAAAATCTGACAATTATCTGATATATTTTTAGGGATTAAAAGTTATATTTTTTGTTTCTGACTTTGATTTTAATGTTCAACCCAGAGTAGGTATTGTCCAGAGGGGGAATGTATTATTCCAATGTCTTATTTCAAATTCAGTCAAATTGTGTGACTATGTTAATGCTAAATAGCACAAGGTTTATTCTGATGATTTACATATGACCATAATTTGTGAGTAAAAAGTTTTTACAAAGATTGATTTATTCTTTAGAGATTAAGTAAATGTTAATCTGCAAAATTCTGAAAATATAAGTTTTCTGGTTTTAAAGCTATTTGTAGACTTATGCATTTGTTATTCAGTTTGAGTTAGATCTTGTCAGCAAGAGTTCCTTTTAAGAGTGTTGGAATTGTATTCTTATGTATGTGTATCTGGAATGATCCAAGATTAGGTCAAAGATGATCTGTTCATGGAAAAATGCACATTGAAAGAATACAGATAAAAAGACTATATATTTGATTAGTGGATCATTCAAATTAGGTGTGAACAGATAAACCTACCTCGGAATAAACTTGTAGAAATGTCAAAGTCTCTTTTTCTCAAAAAAACTTTCCTTGTCTTTCAATAATACTTTCTGTCTCGGTAATTTTGAAATTTTTAATCCCTATTTTGTAGAAAACATGGATTTTATAGGGTCTCTAAATAAGATGATCATTGTGGGTATTGGACATGGTAAAGTTTTTCAAGATTTAGAAATCTACTCATTGCTTCATATCAAGCATTTTAAAAATAAAAAAAATAATTTCTTTCAAATTGTATCTTTCAGTAATTAATCAATGATATCAAGTTACAATTTTAGTTTTAAAATTTTCAAAATTTCTCTTGTACTGTTGAGGCAGGGGCAGGTTACACTGTAATTATGTCCTAGTATCCCATTATGTTTAACTTTTGGGTCACTGCAGCATCTAATAAAAAAAAACAAAATATGTTCATCAATGACTTTCAAGATATCTGTAGGTATCTGTTTATCTCATGAGACAGAGGTAGCACATTGTTTGGTCAAAATTCAGTTCTTTGATGGTGAGACTTGAATGACATTTCCAGGCTGTAGGACTGGGCAATGACATATGAAGGTTGTGCACTACCCAGTCTACATGACCCCACGCTCTGCAATATAACAAGATAAAAGGAATAAAGGGCATTATTATTGGAGCTGGCTTGGCTACAGGAATTGGCATAAGTTTGTTAGTGTTAACAGCCAACCGCATTTGGGGCTCCACTCCAGATTTTCTGTCTGCATTTGCTTTCATAGCTTTTCCATGTTTAGATATAGCTGTAAGACTGTGGAAGTTTAAACTCGGGGTTTTACTTTCTGTAGATGGACTGCCTTCCTGGGCTGACAAACTCTATATACCCGAAGCAGCTGTTTATGAAATGTCAATAGTCCATCTTCACTCCAACTTTTATTTGGAGATGGACTTATCAGAGGTTATTTGAGATATGTGCTATTGGAGTATTTTATAGACAGTGAGATCTTGCCCCCCACTACCACACCCATCCATGGCAACCTTTGGAACATCCATAATGCAAGATAAATACGTAAATATTTTCATGGCAACTGTTCTAATGAGTTTTCTTTCCTGGTACTACATGAATTTCAGCATTGACAACTGGGTTTCATCATTACTTACTCTTAAATTAACTAGATTTAACCATGAGTTTTATTCTAATAGTTTCATTTCTACTACTTCTCACCTGTGGAACTGTCTTTCAGTTTCTTGCTTCCTTTCTACCTACAATCTTTTCTTTGTATTCTCTTTTACTCTCAGTAACATTTTGTGTGTTAGTGACATTATCACATTGCTTGCGGTGAAATGATAAAAAAAATATCACTAATCCTTATATAGTGTTTATTTATTAATGTCATTAACAGTAATGTTACTAACTCTCTTTTCTTTCCATTCTAGAGAGGTTGCTGATAAAGTGGTTCAGGGAGAAGGCAAATTTGAAGAATTGATCGTATGTTCAAAACAGATTGCTGCCAGTACAGCCCAATTGGTGGTGGCATCTAAAGTGAAAGCTGACCGAGAGAGCAAATGTCTAGGACAATTGTCCAATGCTTCTAAGATGGTCAATGAAGCAGCAGGCAAAGTTGTAGGCTGTGCAAAGACAGCATCAAATGCAGTTGAAGAAAAAAGTAAGTTTTTATTTAAAAGGATTTTTTTTTAAATCTACAAACTTGATTTGTTTTGTGGCCATCAATTTTTGTAACACTAAAATATTTAGCTGCAGTTTATTCATAAAGAAACAGAAAAAAAAGAAGGTAGATCTGATTTCTGGTAAAACTATTAAAATAAAAAAAAATAAGTTGGTGCAAAAGAAATACTATTCGACCATTTGTTGTTTAAGAAGACTGTAAATTCTTTTTGTTAATTAAGTATCTCTTGTTACTTTAACTCGTAAATAAGACTAACTCGTTAATCACTGGGTAAAAATACAACTGATTTCTAAAACTGAATGAATTGTCTAATTCTTGATTTTAAAAAAATAAAATAAAATAAAAACTTACAAAATACTGTTTTCATTTTAACCTTGTTAATCTTATCCTGGCCAACTGCAGTCAGGATTATGGACTCATTGTGAACTCTACAATCCTTTCATTAGCTGCATTTAGTATGCAATTTTCCAGGAGTCAATACAGTTTTTGAATTCAGAGTTGTCCTTCTAGACAGGTTGCCAACATCCTCACATCCCATAAGATAATCTTACTCTTTCTTTTTAATAAATCAAGGTGAATAATTAATAAATAGGATCTTAAGTAGTTTTATTTTATCTATTTAGAATTCTGTCTAAATTAAAATATTTTGAATCTTCATTTGTATAATTTCATTTGTCACAAATTTTTTTTAATAAAAGTGGATTCAGTATTAAAATGATTAGTGATTAAACCTTTTCTCTGCTTTTTTTATCTCCAACATAAGCAAGATCATAACACAACTTCATGTACCTGTAATGAATTAAATTTAATTATTTTTGTTATTTTTTTTTTTTTTTCAAGGTTTGATGGATTTTACAACACTGTCTCTTCATCAAACAAAGCAGCAAGAAATGCAGACCCAGGTTGGTGATGGAAACAAAAAAAGGGAATTTTTATATATGATGAGGGTGCTGATAAAAGATCTTTTTTTTTTTTAATTCCCAAAGTTAGATCAACTTTTCACCACCCCCTTGTATTTGGCACTAAATTCATTCATTTCAATGATTTTAACATATTGACTAGCTTCATCACATTGGTAAATCTTGATTTGGTTTTCTAACTTCATCAGTAAATGATACTGTTTGTCAAATGCCTACTGCTATCATTTTAATTCTATGAATTTAGTTTCAAGCAATATATGACTAAGCAATACTTTAGCTTGTTTAATTATTTAAAAAAAAACAGTATCATTTCAAATTTTTTGTGTGAAGCATATAGGAATTCTAAAACAAGTAACTTCTAAAAAGAATGTCTCAGTAACAAAGTAGCTTATTTAGTGAATAGCATCCTTTGACATATTCTTTTATTAAATTTTTTTAAGTTTCAAAAGCAGGTAAAAGAAAGAGTATTTACTCTATAATCTTCACATTTTTATGACTTAAATCAAGCTTCTGGTTTGTGTGTATGGAAGAAAGAAATATTCTCTCATTTGAGTTTTCCCCAATTATGAGCATTATTATATCCATGATACAATAACACCTTATTTCATGAATGAAACGGAATAGCTGAAAGGAAAAAAATGACAAACATACTTTGAAAGAGTTTTATACCTCTAAGTCATACTCAAAATTACATACACATATTTACATTTATCTTCCACAAAGAAACTATAGCATGTATGCAACAACAAGCAGAGTGAAAGGGGATGAAAAAAGAGTCTTTTTCAACAGGAATTGTAGCTGTGTTTCTGGAGAAACCATATATAGGATTACATTTTCTTGTGGGCCGAAATTATCTGCTATGTCACTAGTGAGGACATATTTCTCTCAAACATGGAAATGACAAGATATGGCTTTTCCCAAACTGAGGAGAGTGAGCCAGAGATTGTTTCTATATCTGGTGAAGATCTATTTCCATAAGAAAATGGTGCCATGAGCTTTTAAGCTGCACCATATGACAGCTGGCTGGTCTGGGCAGAGGTAGAACGAACAACTCATGTGTCTTGACTCCAGGCAGTTAACTGACAGACTAGCCACTTTTGTCATTCTATGAAGAGGCATCACTAAGCAGACATCATATGACTTCATCTCATCCAGAGGGTGAGAATTGCCTTTTGTATCATTACAAATTATATTAAATAGAAAAGGATTTTTGTGCACACTGTATAACTGTTAATAATTTTGTACATTTAGTAAACAATGTATTTACAATAATCACTTACATGTTAATCTTAATTTTAATAAGTCTCCATATATATATATATATATATATATTCCCATGGAAGCATATGACTCAGCTCAAATTGTGGACTTAGTAGGCATCAACATACTGGACACTCTTAGTAGGATTATTGGCCCTAAACAAGTGGGCCTTTGCAGAGATGACGGTCTTATCTACATTCCTAACAGCATCAGCCCCCTAACCTCTAGAATACGAAAAAGAATTATGATAGCCCTCCAATTTTTACGTTTTAAAATTGATATCTCGTCTAAACTCAAGATAGTCAATTTCTTAGATGTCACCTTTAACCTCTCGAACAACACCTATCAGCCATTTCAAAAAGAAAAACAAACTCTGATTTACATTAATGTAAACTCAAACCACCCAAACTCCATAGTTAAACAAGTTCCCCAAACTATAAACACTAGAATAAATAAATTATCATCAAATAGAAAAATATTTAATGAAAGCAAATCATCTTATGACAAGGCCCTTAGTAGGAACAACTTCAAACAAAAACTATACCAAGAACCTTCAGATGATATTAAAACAAAAAAAAACAGAAAAAGAAAGATAATCTGGTTTAACACCCCCTTTCTGTAAGCAATCCAGTTTAAATACTTAAATTTAGTCAACAAGCAGTTTAACCAAATGACCATCTACAGAAAATCTTCAACAGAAAAAACCTCAAGATTAGCTACTCCTGCACCAAAAACATGCAGAACATTATTAGTAGACACAATAGCCAAATATTAAAAGCATCCCAAGACGGCAAAACAGCAAGGGTAAAACCATCTTGTAACTGTAAAACTGGAACCATTTGCCCAGTAAGAAGCACCTGTAATTCGGAAAACGTGGTATACTAGGCTACCATTTTTCCGAGTGAGAACACATAAAGATATACATAGGAATATCCACCGGAAATTGGAAACAGAGACTATGCATCCATCAACATTCCAATACTAACCTGTGAAACCAAACCACTCTATCTAAGCATTGCTGGAAAATTAAAGGTAGTAACCTCACCCCAATAATCAAATAGAAACTCATCTGTCTTGAAACACCAACTTCCAGTACAGATGCAATCTGTGTATACAGGAAAAAATTGCAATAATCAAGTGCACAAATGCTAACCAATTATTAAACCAACAAAATGAGTTTATCTTCAAATGTAGGCAGAAAAACAAATTTAAAATCCTCTAATAACACTTGTTTTTGTGAGGATGACATGTGAAATGTTGGTTCATTGATGGGGGCAGTAGCACATATGGGTGCACATTAATGTGTAGATTTGTACATGTGTGTATGCATATGTGTGTACTACATGGGTTGGTATTGAATATCACATGACCTTGTTGCTTTTTGTGGGTTTCCACACACATAGACCTATGACTGTCTTGCCGATGTACACCTTACTCATGCTTCTAAACTAACACATATTGTATCATTATCCATATTCCATAACTTTTACTCTTATTCCTTTATTTTTGGTATTTTGATTTGAATTTTTATTCGCACTCTTAACTCTCTAAATTTATTTGTTTTATTCACCTATTTAAAATCATGCCTCCAATTGTAGCTTGCAATATTACTGTGATTTCTAATTATTATTTGTACTAAGGACTATTTCATAAAACCAGTCAATCCACTGCATAAACCAATTCATATAGTTCCAAAAATTAAGAAAAATCTAGGCCAGTCATTCTGCTAGAGCTACTACTACTTGGTCTCTTCCTTCTTACCCTCCTCTTCCACAAAAAAAAAACCTGTACATCCAGCCTTCAGAGCCTTCCACTCCTTCTATATCACCTTCTTGTGTTCCCTTCAACTTAATGTCTCCACTATTAAACTTTGGCCTAAAAAAAAAAAAAACAAAAAAAAAACAAATGCTTAAGTGTTACCATATTAATACCGGCCTTTATATGGATTAAGATCTCTTTCATTAAATTAATTTGAATTGACCTGGTTTGTCCTGCCTATAAACAACAAACTGTGTGCATAGAGTAAATTCATGGCTAGGTGAACCGACTACTACTACTACCACTAATCCCTCTCTTTACCCATTCCTCCTCTTTCACCTTCCCTCCTCACTACCAATCTAATTTGTCCGTCTGGTGTATTTTTTCCAATTACGAAGATTTCGATCCAAAGACTTGAATGTCTCAGTGTTCATGAAATAAATTTATAATCAAAATGGATAGTTAAAGTCTACAACTTCTTATCATTATAATGCTCTGTAGTCTACATTGAGCTCTCCTTGGATTTATACCCTCCTTGGAATTATCCCTTCCTGTCACAAACTGGTACGACGTGTGTGTGTCTATATATATATATATATATATATATATATATATATATATGGTGTAATGGATAAATTTAAATTGTCTAAATTACACAAAAATGAAAATAACACTCACATCCCATTTTAACAGATATATTTACCAAAATTACACAAAAATATCTTGAAAATCTAAAGAGTAAATTTATTCAATAATCCTTGCCTTCAGTTCATCTTTGGAGTTACAAAGAATTTTGTTGGTTTTTCAATCAACTGCACACCAAATATAATAATCAGAGAGATTACAGTCTTGGGAATTAGGTGGCCAGATGTAAGGGGTGACATGATCACAGAAATTATCTGACAGCCTTGACTGGGTTCTCCTGCTTGTGTGGCATGGTGCAGAGTCCTGTAGCCAGACATAAGGTTTTCCAGCAGCCACCCTCTTGATTCAGGGCTGCACTACCTTCTCAAGGCACTTGATATAGGTCTTTGTGTTTAGTCTGAGGCACTGTGGGAAGATGAATAGAGGCATAACATTACCATCACTAGCGATCACTCTAAACACCTTTGTAATCACCATTAGACTTGTCCAACTCTTTCTGAATCTGCACTGTCCTCAGATTAACATCCAAATACTTTGAAATGTTCATATTGGAGCTTTTGGTGCGAATGTCAAGCAGTACAGCATGCCAATTCCAGATTTCTGCCAGAGTTAATTCTATCATGGTTTTCTTTTTCTCAATGAGGGTCCCCAGCTGACCTCATTATACTATGCAGTTCACAAATTCAAAGACAAACAACATGTATGCATGAAATCAAAAACATGAAATGGCGACAATTTACCCATCGCACCTTCTCTCTCTCTTCTCTCTCTGTATGTAATCTGTGTTTAGAAGAGAAAATTAGAATAATTAAATTTGATAATCAAAGTATATTACAAAAACAAAGGAGTGAGTGAGTTCCAAATGTTGTCACCAAACTAGATTCAAATTGATCTAGAATATTATTGAACTTGCATACTCTGTTATCACCGAACACATGTACTGTTATTTCTACTCCTTCTCATTCTTACCAAATAACATTCCTCAAATTTTTTGTTATCACTATTATTATTATTATTTTTCTATTTTTTCCTTGCCATATCTATTTAATTTTATATTTAACCTTAGATTTAATATATATATATTTAATAATTTATACTTATATTTTAATAATTTATTTATATAATTTTATTATTATTATTATTAATTATTTAATTTATATTTAATATTTATTTTTATTTTTTTAAATGACTTATTTTTTTAAGAATATATAGCTTTATATTTAATAATTTTATTTCTCTTAATATTGTTTTAATATTATTTAGTTATCTGTTTATTTCTTATTAATTTATATTTAATAACTTGACTATAATAATTATTT